ATGATTAAACAATTCTAAAACTAAAGAACATCTAAATCATAACACAAATGTGCTTGTGCAGATTGCCAGTGTCCCACAAAACAACAAGGAGCCTTACGTTGAATCTACACTGTCAAATGAATAATTTGGCACCACTTTAACTGCCATGGCTTAAATGCTATGTAATCATAAAAGTTGTAGTTTACAGGGTGTTTAATCCTCACTGTGAAAGACTGTTGGTACCTCGCTAAACTACAACTCCTATGATTCCCTAGCATAGAGCTATGGGCGCTAAAGTGGTGTCAAACTGCATTAATTCTGCAGTCTTAATGCACTGTCAGGCCCAGAAGCCTTTCATGAAGATACTTAGCTGTAATGACAGGAAGGTATACTTTTATTGAGTCATGCTAAGTTTATCATCTTTCTATTGAGTTACCTGTAATAACTGTATTGGATAAATGTTTTTAAATATGTTTACTTATTTCTATTGTAAATTGTTTTTATAAGTTTGGTTTTACGTATGTATGTTGTTTTGTATTGCTTTAACATAATGTTGTGAGCCACTTTGGATCCTGTTTAAGGATTAAAGCAGGATACAAATAATTAATTACTATTATTGATACAAAAACATAGTATGTCACAATCAACGAGATATATATGCTGGAATTCAAATCACAAGTCGAACACTTCCCAAGCGTCTAGGTCTGTGTGATGTATTTTCGAATGATGCATGTAGATCCAAGTAAGGTGGCCTTTTGCAGTTGACAGATCGTCATTTTGAGTCTACACTACCATATAATGCAGTTCAGTGCAATTAAACTCTACTATCTTGTCAGTGTAGATGGGGCCTCTGAATCATTCTATAATTCAATAACAGACATGCCATGATGTGATTGTGAAATAATGTGCCTCATATCTGAAAAGAAACTGTGAAGATTTAATTTTTCTTAAACAGGGCTGCGTTGTGCAAATCAATTTGAATCATCTGTGGTGTTTGCTGAAAATCTGAAACACCAAGAAATCAGCTGCTCAGACACCAGAACTCAACTGTTTTTCACAGTAAACAAAATATGAGGAACACAGCTGTTTGTCATGAGACAAGCTGGGAGAAGTGAATACAAACACATTATAGTATTTTCTTGTTCAGCAAACTTTCAGAGGTAAATGTTCTTCAAAATATTATAAAATGTGTTCAAAGAACCACATTGCTTTGAAGTTCCCTCTCATATAAATGTACCTTAATGGAAAAAAGAGTAACCCCAATTTAATATATGGAACTAGTTCATACATTCCTGTAGCAGAAATTAAGTGACAACCTGCGTATATGAAAAAGCCATTGCTGAACAGAGTTATCATGCACACTCAAGATTTTACAATTTTTTAAAAGTCTGTCTTTAACTGGTTAGTGAGGGGTGGGTTCCTAGGTGACTGTGGAGCCCTATTCTTGATCTGCATCTTCTCCCACAGTGAGGGCAGGTAGAAGGCGGTCCTGGTCGGGGTTGGCTTGATGCACCTTCTTCTTGGCACGTTTCTCTCTTTCGCCCTCCATTCATGCCTCTTCAAATTCTGCAGCACTGCTGGTCACAGCTGCCCACCAACTGGAGCGCTCAAGGGCCAGGGCTTCCCAGTTCTCAGTGTCTATGCCAGTTTTTAAGGTTGGCTTTGAGCCCGTCTTTAAATCTCTTTTCCTGTCCTCCAACATTCAACATTGCTTTTACTATGTGGATCTTCGTTGCCAGTGTGATGTCTCTACTCTTCACTATTTTGTCAAGATTGGTCATTGCTCTCCTCCCAAGAAGTAAACGTCTTCTGATTTCCTGGCTGCAGTCTGCATCTGCAGTAATCTTGGCACCTAAAAAATACAAAGTCTGTCACTGCCTCCACGTTTTCTTCCTCTATTTTCCAGTTATCAATCATTCTTGTTGCCATAATCTTGGTTTTTTATGTTTAGCTGTAACCTAGCTTTTGCGCTTTAATCTTTCACCTTGATTAGAAGGCTCCTCAGCTCCTCCTCGCTTTTGGCCATCAAAGTGGTATCTTCTGCATATCTAAGATTGTTAATGTTTCTTCCAGCAATTTTCACTCCAGCCTTGCATTCGTCAAGCCCCGCACATCGCATGATGTGTTCTGCATACAGGTTGAATAGGTTGGAGGGAGAGTATACAACCCTGCTGTACGCCTTTCCCAATCTTGAACCAGTCTGTTGTTCCATGGTCAGTTCTGACTGTTGCTACTTGGTCCTTATACAGATTCCTCAGGCAGGCCCGTAGCCAGGATTTCGATTCGGGGGGGGGGGGGCTGAGTTTTTTTCAGGGGGGGGTTCGGGGGGGGGGTGAGTTTCGGGGGGGGTCTGAGTCTGAGTGAAAGATGGTCTACCCTAACAAACCTTTTGTATCATTACCCCAATACCCCCATGCATATGGGATATATTGAGTATGGTGATCAGATGATACGAATAAACATAACTTTAAATAGGTTCTTGTGGGTTTTTTCGGGCTATAGGGCCATGTTCTAGAGGCATTTCTCCTGACGTTTCGCCTGCATCTATGGCAAGCATCCTCATAAACTACCTCTGAGGATGCTTGCCATAGATGCAGGCGAAACGTCAGGAGAAATGCCTCTGGAACATGGCTCTATAGCCCGAAAAAACCCACAAGAACCTAGTGATTCCAGCCATGAAAGCCTTCGACAATATGATTAATTCTTTTTCTCTTTATATGGTAACAGTTCCCACCTTTTTGAACAGCTATGGGAAGCTGTTGTAGCCTCCAAAGTGACAGGCTGTCAGCATATAGGTAGAGTTTTTTCCTGCGACGTCTCTCAAACTCCAAAGCTTCTTGAGCGTCTGTACGGTCATTTTCCAATCTTGTTACCAGTTCTGTGACCTCTGCCAAAACAGCTGTTGTTTTCTGCTTTAAAGGCTGTATGTCTTCAAAAATTTAAAGGGGGGAGAATAAGAAATATGCACTGCAATAAAATGCCTCTAGAACATGGCCCTATAGCCCGAAAAAACCCACAAGAACCTAGTGATTCCGGCCATGAAAGCCTTCAACAATAAGTTTAAATAATGCACCAGTAAGGCCTTTTCGCGAACCACCATGAAAATTTCGGGGGGGGGGGGGCGGAAGGGGAGGTGGCCTGGAG